TGATGAATAAATGAAAATTAAAAAGAAATCTAATTTCTTAGTAACCAGGAGGGCTAAAAATAAGTTATTTTTTTTGTTATCCATTATTTTTAAAGGTTTTTAGGGTCGAATCCATCTCAATAATACAGCGTTTCATATTACTTAATAATATTATTATTATTATCATATTATTTAATAATATTATTATTAAAACACGAATCTTTTCCGTAAATTACTCATGATTCATTCAATTTCAAGGATTTGAAAATGAGATTGTGGTTTGTCTCCTCAAAGACGATGATTAAGTTGTATCATAATAAATAATCCAAAACTGCTAGCCATAAAGCGATTCTTATAGTCCAGAGTAAATAACGGTTAAATTTACAAAAAAGAAACCTGCACGAGCTCGGAAATTACATAATAATATTAATGTGGTGTCTTCATGATCAGTGTAATAAATGGCGATTGTTTTTTAAGAGCAAGGTTTTTAAAAGTGTCTAAGATAACCAAAGCAAATTTAGAATCACTTCAATCACTCATATATTTAAATGTGAAACATTTATTTAGACTTAAAATCATCGTTAATTGTTGTAACGGTGGATAATTGTCCTATAATAAGTCGCCCTTCTTTTCAGGATTTAAGCTTTATCATAATAAATAAACATAAACTGCTGGCAGGAAAGTGATTCCTATAGTTATTTTCGCACTGAGACGTATTAAGGCGGGGACTGGAGAGTAAGGATCTCCATTCTCCAACAAAGACTTAATAGTCGGCACGGTATTGCATCTTAGGTCATGCAGACGCAAGGTTATGAACTGTTACAATAAAGGACTGGTTTTCAAACGAGTAGATAAAAGGAACTAGGAGGGTTACAAATAAGTTATTTTATCTTAACTTATTAGTGTTTCGTCTTATAATCGTTTTTAAAGGTAACGTTTTTTTATGTATCTAAGACGACCATGGAAATTTGAAAATAATCTCTCGTATTTTATTACTACAATTTTGAATGAAAGTGCATGGTTATTGATTGAATGATGTCACAGTCCTTTCATTGTTATTGTTAGTGCACCAACGAGCAACGTGGTCAGATCCTCACCGATAATTCAACGGTTCATATTAAAATACGAAACTTTCCATAAATTAAAAAAAATAAATTTAATCATGACTCACTTAGGACTGAAGTCAAAATTATGGCTTGGCGACTTGTTGATAATAATACCCAATTTGTTATTATTGTAGATTAGATCGTTCGATTAAGAAATTAAAATTGGGTTTTAAAGATAAATTGATAAAATGGTACCCCGCATACAGCAACAATTCTGCTACTTTGCGGGACTCACTGTCAACAAGATTCAGACGTCATTGGCCGAGCCAGACCTCGCTTCTCCTCCTCATCCTCCTCCTGCTGAAAAGATCAAAGCTCTGTCAGGAGTACTAAATCTAATGAAAAACGACGAGATTTCATTTATTTTTAGTAGCTTTTTTCGTTCATGGAGTCTGGAGCAACTACATAATCTTATTTCAGGTAAGCACAGACCATAATTAGTTTTTCAAACGTAGATTTGGCAAATGAAATGTTGTATCACGAACCATCCCGGTAGATCTAATTGAACATTTAAGATTAAGCTTATTATCAGCCGGATAGTTTAGAAATAGTTTAGACAATTTGATTTGAACTTGTATTTAACCACTTCTTAAGTGACTTGATTTGATTCTTGGATTAAGACCTCCAAGTCATTTGACTCTTTCTCTGCAAGAGTTTGCTCGTTCATGATTCTTAGAAAAATTATCGATTCATTTCGTGTCGTATCGTAGCTGTTTCGTAACATTTAGATTTAGTGTGTTTTTTTGTTTGTTTTTTTTTCACGATTGGTCTTCATTAAAAAAAAGATTTCCGGGTTTTCATTATGAATGGCTTCCGTGTACAGCAATGATTAACGGAATAGGTTAATAAAATAATAAAAGGGTCCTTATCTAATTAAAGTATTGAGTCATGGTCTATTGAACAAAATAATTCATTAATATTACGTAGTGTGTAATGTGTATAATGGATGTTGATTATTGACCTCGATTGATTCCCGCCATTTTATTACTTTAAATTTGTCCATCGACATTTTCTTGAAAATACTTCTAAAGCGAAAAACCTTTTAAGCACTTTGACGCAACATTTTGTATAGTTCTTACTTCTTTGACTTTTTTTTCCAATTTGTCGGAGCAATTTTCTATTTTCTCAATCTAAGTGCACTTAATATTTGTGAGCATTTGATTTCAATACACAATAAAATCCTCGCTGCCATTAATCCTACATCCATCTTCCATTAATATCCATCTGTCCTGAGGTTTTAAAGTCGTCCTCTTCTCACCTCCCCCGAAGTAAGAGTTCCTTCCTATTTTTGGGTCAGGTCTCTTTACCAAACACAATCACTATACATTAGATTATCTGGCTGGGGAGAATATAATTCAACAATTTAGCAATCTAATATTCCCGGTTATTTTCCTTTCTACTAAAGACTAACTTCATTGACGTCAAATGAGGAAGAAATTGATGAAGGATTCGATTAATATTTAATTTCCCCTTCGAAGCATTAAATATAGGATTACATAAGTTAGATCTTCTTGAAAACTTGAAACATCCTAAATATCTCTCTGGCGGCTGGCCCTCATCCACGGGACAACCGGAAGTCTTAATCAGGATTAAATATGTTTCCAAGGTTCTAGAATGTCCTGGAAAATTCGACGTCGGTACTTTAAAGCTGAAATTTGATTGCTTATCTTTCAGTTCTCCTCGTTTTTATCAGGTAGTTTCGTATTTTCAGACCGGTTTAACGCAGTACGCTTTGTTCATTACTAGAATATTCCTTACCCTTCAGTTGCTATTCTAACAAGTAGACTTGCAAAGAATTTTATCATCAAGCCAATTTATTGAGATAAATGTCTTTTTTCACCGTGTGTTTCTCCAGATTTTCGATATCATCCATGTGAATGAAAATTGACAATGACACCCAAGTTCAAGATTTATCGAGTCACAGAATACTTAACCTTTGTCTGGCCGAGAGGCCTTCCCGCCTTCCATCAAGAATCAAGAATACAAATATCATCGTTTAACAGCCATGATTTTATCAATCATGGCCGAATATAGATTATACTTATACCTTTATACTCTTATAGAAGTGTGACGTTAAGAACTAGATGCAGTCATCACTAATGATAGATAGCGCGCCAGAATACTTTCACGGCAAATAAATTGTGATCTGTGACTTGCACGTGTCTAGAAGGAATGTATCCTGCGAACATCTCATCTTCTTGCTCGCATACCTATCTTCTTGCTCACATACCTATCTTGTCAATCTTGCACCAACCATTTTTCAACATCCTGCACCCATCGCTTGCACATACCCTGCATCTTTTCAGTTCATTATGCACCCACATCATCATATTCTGCCCATTTTGTATTTTGGTCCTTGCATGCATTTTTAACCATTGTTCCATAACGCATTCGTTATTTCAATGCATGTAGAATTTCTGCAAATAATGATGATCATAAATGAATTTCGGCACGATAACCTGAACGTTAATATCGGAGAGCTATTATACACAAGGTAAAAGATGCGTCACCTTACAAATCATGGCGGTACGAGAGCTATTATACACAAGGTAAAAGATGCGTCACCTTACAAATCATGGCGGTACGAGAGAATACCGCTGCCGGTAGGGCTCCGGTCGGGCGCCGGTAGACCGTCGGTAGGGCGCTCCACCGGCGCCATACCGAGAGTGGTATCCGCTCGTACTAGTCAAACCATATGTTGGGCGAACATATATCTCCTCAAGGAAGAAATTGACAGACTTTGGCCCATTTCCGTCGGCAGCCCATACTGAGTAATATCACGTGGGTTGCCATGCAACCAATAAACCATGAGGGAAACTCCACGTGACACGTAGGGGCGACCACGTGCTATTTCTTTAATGGATCACGTGGTGTTACTTTGGTTAATGTTATGGACACTGGGGCTTAGACGACCCTGCTTCATTCGAACGGTTCAATTTGTCATAATTTACTCTCCTTAATTTTAGTTTAATAAATTTATGCTATTTAATTTTAAAGATTGTGGTTATTACGAGCGTGCTATAAAATTAATAAATAATTCGAGGAAACTTTGCTATTTTATTTATTTTAGCTGCTGGGTTAATATACTAATATTGGGTATGGAAATGGTACGGTCGTGGTTTAGCGCTCTTCTTAAACTGGTCTTGCCAAAAACGTGTTTAAGATTAGGATTAAGAAATGCCAAAACGTCCTTAGACATTTCCCGGGCATTACTAAAGATAAAGGTCTTTGTGGAGGGTGGAAAACTAGCCAAGTTTTTTCAACTGTTTCATTATTTCAGACAAAAATTGGTATCGTTACCATTTGCAACCATTTTAATTTGAAAAGAGCAAATTTTTATAAGTGCAACTTCCACTGCCGTGCTCTTTTTCCGAATTGACTTCACTTTATCGTCTAATTGTTACGTGACTTAATAGCACTATTTTACCTTTAAAGTATCATTTGTTTTAACTTTTAATGCTACCTGATCAGTACTGTACTGCTGATCTAGATGATTCGATTAATTTTTCCCTGCGTTTAGTTTTTACGGTTACTGCCTTAATCGTAGTCTAATTAGGAATTGAACTGCTTTTGTTTTGATACTTGGTGACAATTTGTTAAATAATTTTACGTATATAACTGGGTTTATCATTTATTTGTTCTTGAAAAATAGACATATTAATGTTTTAAATATCTTTTAAATCTTTTGTTGCTATTTATGCTATTTATAGAAATATAGCCACGTTTATATTTCGGCTGAAGCCTGAAAGTAGTGCAAACACAACAATAGACCTTTATCAATCAGCCAGAAAATTTGCGATTATCAGATTTTGTTGTGAACTTTGAGAAGTTAACTATCAATGCAGACGTAAAATGAATTTTATGCATTGGTTTCATACTGTACCGCACTTGCCAATTATCCTCGGTATCAGATAGCTATCAAGCTTTTCTCATTATCACAGAGTCCGTCCCGTGATAGTGCCACCGGGGACAGCCGGTACGTGGCAATTCATTTCCCCCCTCTGCGCACTATATAATGAGGTAATGTTTACAATTAAATTACAATTTATAACAACCCATTTTCCGATGGATTAGATCAGATCACAGTTGAAATGAATTTCCTCTCAATTACTCTGATATCACTTTCCCTGAAAGAAGCCACCGCAATGTTTACCTGCAACAGTCCTCCTTCAGGAATATCGTCCGACGAAATGGCTCAGTAATGAAATGCCCATTAAATTTTAACAATTTTTATTTCAGCGATTATGCTATGATTTAAGAAATGCCAAAACGTCCTTAGACATTTCCCGGTAATTACTAGGGATCAAGCTGAAGCTTGTCACGTGATGCCCATATAAGGAAGCAGTATAAGAAGTCAAGCAGAGAACAAATTGAAAATAAGCAGCGTATTTATTTTTGTGGAAGCATCCCCCTTTTTCTTAAACACAGATAGCATTTTGCTTCGATTTATTCACATTCTAAAATACCTTATTGATGTCACTTTCTAGCTTGTTTATCGGGTATTGAGAAGTCTACCAGAATTTGTTTTTAACTGAAAATATATATTTTAATTACGATAACAGAGTGACCTGTTAACAGTGCCATTAATTCTTTTATCATCGCAGCAAAACTTTTAAAATTTCCGACAAACAAATACAAACGAAATTTTATCGATTTCATGTGCAGTTTTCTTTCACGAACTAGGTCGACAGGTGAAATTATTAGATAAAATATTAAAAAGCGTCTTTAATTCTCTGATTTAAGACGGTGTTTTGCAACGATTTTCTGTCACCTTGAACTTCCTCTTCATCTTGTTTCATTAAGTGCTAGATCGTGGCCATCATACGTCCACAAATTTTGTGCTCTCCCTCGAAAAAATAACAAGTTAATTTTAAACGAAAAACCTAGGATGAACGATTTAAATCCCCCTCTATGCGAACGCATTAGTCATTAGTCATTAGTATTCACATTATATTATTGTCGTCTAGATATATTCCTGATGAGGTTATAAACATGATTTAATTGTCCTCTGAACCCAGTGATGATGTCCTCCATAATATCTCGCTCCAGATTATTATAACCCACACTAAAGACCTAAATAATAATTCACAAAATTAGTGTTACAATATGTAGCAAAATGTCTCCGACTTTGATATAATTGTACTGCGAACTAGATATCACATCCAGCTAAAGTGACGCAGTTACAAATTCATGTCAGTACACGCTTTGAATACCCTCTGAAGTCTCCTCAATCATCCCTACACCCCCTTATTACCAGTCTAAATAAAATGCGTTTGCACTGATAAATATTTAATCGTGCCGTGAGGATCCAGCCTCCATAGTGCGCGGCTCTCATCAAACAAAGGGTCTGCGTTACCGGGGTTACATTGTTACCAAGGAAACGTCTGTCTTGAAGATCAAATAACGGGTATATCTCCTGGTGGTCGCTAAGTCACTAGGTTCCCTGTTTACAAGTCTACACGAGCTCTGATCCGTGATCCTGACGGCGGGAAGTGACCTTACTTATTTGGCTTGTGTTCGACGTGACACCAGGCAGCCGCAGACACAATCAAATTAGGCTTTATATTATCACTCTCACTCACTCTCCGTTATTATGTAGTATATAGGAGCACTCAGTGGAGATAGTGATCAGATAAATCTGTAGCACCGTCTTCGGTGGGGGTATCATCCTGCATCTCTACTGCTCCTCTCTCTCTCTCTCTCTCTCTCTCTCTCTCTCTCTCTCTCTCTCTCTCTCTCTCTCTCTCTCTCTCTCTCTCTCTCTCTCTCTCTCTCTCCTCCTCTCTCTCTCTCTCTCTCTCTCTCTCTCTCTCTCTCTCTCTCTCTCTATCTCTCTCTCTCTCTCACACTCATTTGTATCAAACACTTTTTCTAATTAGTTGTAACTTGTAAGTCTTCTGTGCTAGACGCTTTACAATAATAATCCATTAATATGTCCCATGATTTGTTTCCGCAGATCCTGTTTGTAGTTTTACGTCATCAGTGGGGACTGATAACTGATACTTTCTTCATAGACCTTATCCCGTCTAGTTATTACGTTTTCTGTGTGTTTTTCCCGCGCGGTGAGAAGTTACAAGCTTGCTGTTCCAAATTGTCAATTTCCCAGACAAATTCGATGGCAAGTACCCAGTGGCGTAACGAAAGGCCCTGCTGACCCCGCTGTGCAGGGGGGCGCCGTCTTAGGGGGGCGCCAAATCGTCGTTTGAATGTGGGACAATTTCGAAAACTTAACTAAAGTACTAGCAAAACTGCGCGTTTTGCTCTAGATACACACTTTTTTAGAGATTTTACCGGCGTATTCTTTAAAATCACCTAATTTGTTCAATTTTAGGGAGGGGCACCAAAAGGGGAGGGGGCGCCAACAGGGGGGCGCTTTTTTCGGCAGGGGGGCGCCAACAGGCAACGTTACGCCTCTGCAAGTACCCCGAATTTTGTTAATTTGATTGTTTGATTTCGATCTTTGTGGAGGGTGGAAAGCTAGCCAAAGTTTTTGTAACTGTTTCATTATTTCAAAAAAAATTGGTATCGTTACCATTTGAAACCATTTAAATAGTGCACATTTTTATAAGTGCAACTTCCACTGCCGTGCTCTTTTTCCGAATTGACTTCACTTTATCGTCTAATTTTTACGTGACTTGATAGCACTATTTTACCTTTAAAATATCATTTGTTTTAACTTTTAATGCTACCTGATCAGTACTGTGCTGATCTAGATGATTCGATTTACTTTTTCCTGCGTTTAGTTTTTAAAAAGTTTCCAGTTACTGCCTTAATCGGAGTTTAATTTGGACTTGAACTGCTTTTGTTTTGATACTTGGTGACAATTTGTTAAATAATTTTACGTATAATTGGGTTTATCATTTATTTGTGCTTGAAATATAAACATGATAATGTTTAAATATATTTAAATATATATATTATATATCGTTTGTTCGGTACTCTTCGTTCTCTAAAAGTATTGGTGCGTGACCCACTTGCTATTTAGAGAAATATAGCCACGTTTATATTTCGGCTGAAGCCTGAAAGTAGTGCAAACACAACAGTAGCCCTTTATCGATCAGGCAGAAAATTGGCGATTATCAGATTTTGTTGTGAACTTTGAGAAGTTAACTATCAATGCAGACGTAAAATGAATTTTATGCATTGGTTTCATACTGTACCGCACTTGCCAATTATCCTCAGTATCAGATAGCTATTAAGCTTTTCTCAGTATCACACAGTCCGTCCCGTAGTATTGCCACCGGGGGACAGCCGGTACGTGGTAATTCATTTCCCCCTCAAATAAAAAACTGCGTATTATATAATGAGATAATATTTACAGTTAAATTATGATTAATAACAACCCATTTTCCGATGGATTAGATCAGATCACAGTTGCAATGAATTTCCTCTCAATTACTCTGATATCACTTTTCCTGAAAGAAGCCACCGCAATGTTTACCTGCAACGGTCCTCCTTCAAAAATACCGTCCGACGAATTGGCTCGGTAATGAACTATTCATTAATTTTTAACATGTTTTATTTCAGCGATTATGCTGTGATTTTGTATTCAATTCATAATCATTTTCTCTAAACGTAATCATTTTAGTAGCTCGTTGTTTAGCTTGGCTGGTTTTCGACCGAAGAAAAATCGGTTAGCATCTTCAGATCATTAAAGGACCATCGTGGTTATATCAGCTGGCTTTGCGCCAGTTTCATAGCTGACGTCAATTGAAGTGGGTTGAGGAATGATTCTGTGGGTGGTTTTGCTTTTTTGTTGTGGTCACCATGGTCGGTCTGTGGTCAGTAACACAACCATGGCTGATGGTAGACCTAATAACCTATGAGTGTCTCAGTAAAAGTCAGCCATCAAAATAGAACTGGCGTTCATTTGCTTTTCCAATTTCAACCGTTTAACATTCACAAGTTTAACGATCATGCGGCCTTACAGGAATAACTTTGTAATACAGACCCCTAAAAATTCCGCCAGGAACTTTCCAGATAATATTTGGTCTTAACATGAGCAATTAAATCTTGCAAGTTTCCGTCTGCAGAACCGTTTAGCGTTTGCTCTATAATCAATCAGTGCTGGCGACGCCACCTTAATGAATTAGCATAATATTTTCATCAAATTTGTCACGTCTTGCACGGAGTCACGGATTGTATTAAGTAGTGTGGTTGTGATAGAGACTGATAGAGACTGTCCGGCTGGAGGGCGCCGAAAATTCCAACTCTATCAATACAAGATTATTGCTTGTTAAAATGATTCACCACGTGTTAGAATGCTACAGTGGATTCTTATTCCTTTATACTATACAGCTGTCCAGTTAAAGACAAAAACATGTGACTTCGTTTGAGACAGTTTATACGAGTTAACTTTCCAGTTTAACACAAAAACATATTACTTCATGTCAGATATAGAAAAACCATGATGGTTCTGAGCAAAACTCAGTTTTTTACAGTTGACGGCTGACGCCACGAAAATAAACCCTTTCGCTGATCGTGTCAATCGTGTTGCTAAAAATAAGCTCCATTGTAAGCATGTAATGTTGTAACAGAATATTGTAGCGGAGGAGTCCGCCGACAATCTTGCACAAGCTTGTAACTGTCGCAAACAAGGGTCTTCCCTGCAGCTAGAGTATATGATACGTGGAAAGCACGTGGAACAAACGTGAAACGCGTGCGGAACACACGCGGAACGACGGGGCATTATTAATTTTCGTGTCATATCAGTAATATGCTGGGATTACTACAAGGAGATGATGTACAAGCATTTTTGTAGGTCGGACGTGTTAAGGTTAATTAATTTTCTAGCTTTGATCGCTACAAGATGTTAAAGTCCAACAAGGATATTTACAGTCACGTAAATATCATACTCATAGAGCCACGTATGATTAAAAATTCCTTGTATCAAAGGTAATGGTAATGAAGACTTGTGCCCGTTGAATGGCCAGGATGTAACCGCTTAATGGCCGGTAAATGGTTGCTTAACGGTCGGTATATGGTCGGTGTATAGCCACTATATCAATATGGCTGTTGCGTCATTACCACTACATAGTACATATTATAGCTATCGTAGAACGGCTTGTAGAGTTCTATTTTACATACTAGACATTAGAAGGCTGACCGCTGACGTAAAGGTTATATTGAAGTATGAGTATACGTTGACTCAATGACAATAAAAAATCATAAATATGGAGGGAACTTCAAGAGTGGAGGTGGATTTTGTAAATCAGTTATCCACGAGACAGAGTTTGTGGTAAACCGAGTATCACGATGTTGGGCTTTTGGACACAATGTGATATCTGATACAATAGTTTTAAAGTAAAATCGGTGTTTTAGGATCGCAGGGAATTTCACAGGGTATTTTATAGACCTCGTGTTATTGTTGAGAGTCTGTATTTTTTCCGTAGATGCCATTAGATGCCATTAGAATTAGATGCCTTGCTTAATTATTGACCTGTTTCCCGAGTTCAAAATCGACACCAAACAAAACCATGAAGGTTTTCCTGGGCCAATCTAATTCTAATCAAGAATGGCTTAATTTACATTTTGGGTGAAAGTTTAAACAAACTATCATTCACGTCCATGATTAAGCAACTTAAAACTAACAATTGGACCCCACAGATTTGCAGAAACCTCAGAAGTGGTTTTGACGGGGAAGGTGCTAAACGTTGAACCGTTGGGGCCGAGGACTCTGCTCGCGGTAGGTACGTTTCTTCATACTTCAACTTTCTCTTTAACTTTAAACTTTCCCTTTCACTTTAAACTTTCCCTTTCATCTATTATACTTCCTCTTTTTTCTTAATACTGGTCATTTTTGGGCGCTTTTTTTTATCACTCTGCAATATCAATGATACCAAAAATGCATAAAACTTTAACGTAATACAAGTTGTATTATGTTATAACATTATGCAGCATTATACAACATTATGTTATAACATTATACAACACAAACAACTGACTAACCTTTTTCAGAGGGCGATAATTGAAGTGGACTGCATCTACAAAACCCCGCGGGTAGTTAACGTTCAGAACATAATAACAGTGGAAGGTGTGAGCACGCATATAACTTCCTGCCTAAGTGTTGTCAAGAGCTACACTCGATACATTTTCTTTCTTAGTTCTACTTCAGAGTGAGTTATCATTTATTTTGAAAATTTGCATTACATTTTATAAAAAATATATGAGATGGTTAATTTTTTAAATTTTTTTTGATAAATCAAAACCTTTCTATACCGGGGGTTTTTTTACCCTGCACTTTTTATTTCCCCCAAGATCGGCCCGGTATAGAGGTTTCACTGTATCTAATTTTTAAAAATATTAATTTTAATACACCGTCTCATTTGTGAGCCTTTGATGAGAACTCCAATTCAAAGATTTTGTCTTTTATCGATAAGTGTATAATAATCATTCACTTTATTCGTTCGTGACAAACCGAGTCGGCCCATGTCCGTGAACCGTCTGTTACAAGCTGGGTAAGCGTTCAGGAACCGTTTGTGAACGGTTGACATATAGATCTTTCAGAATCTTCCAAAGTCACGTATTGCACGCTATCAAAGAAAGTTTCTCAAAAAAATGGAATAACGGATAAGTTCCGTCATGTTTTCATAAAAATATGATATTGTCCAGTCAAGTAGAGAAATTTGAAAAATTTGTAAAATTTGGAAATCTAATAATTTCAATCTAATCTAACGTACACATTAATAAGGTGACGGATAAACCAGTGTTAATGTTACTGTACATCATATTTGTGATGATGACAGTGTCTGGCAATGTTTATCAATCATGATACAGATATTACACGTTGCACCATGTGTCTTGCACAAACAAGTTTTACGTTTCTAAAAGATAACGGTAATAGTCCTTCAGTAAGTAATGTTATTATGATACCACAATTTGGATTACTGGTGTACTTTTGAATTCCTGGAACTAACAATTCTGCGGAAAAAACCCAACTTGTAAGTTTGAGTAAAGGCTGCGTCATTTGTAATTGAAGAAGACTGAGCATACTTGAATGTAATAATACTCAAACGAACTTATCATTTAACCTGAACCTACACTTCTAAGGTGATTATTTTCTGCAAAAAGTGCAGAATCTAATGATCACTCCGTTAATTCACTCTTTAATGATTTAAAAAACTAGCCGGTAACAATTTTTGGCCAGGTATTCACGTACACCTCTTGCTGAAGTCGTTAGAGCGTAGCATGGTGATAGCGTTTACCAAAAATTAGTCTGCCACTATCTGACATAATAAAACTGAAAAACGGACATAAATAGTCTTTCAATCTTGAGAAAGTGGTCTAAAATAAATTTTGGTCTAATAAGTACCGCATTAATTTATATATTGAAAATTCTGTTGAAATGATTGTCAATTTAACGGAATATCTGGGACTTCGTGGGGATCAATTCTTTCTCCTTTTTTAACAAGGCCGGGATTTAAACTTTTGAAGCCATTTAACATAGATCATTTGGACCAGCAAGTAAGAAAAAAAATTTAAATGTAAATCAGTCGATCGCTAGCAAAAAAGCCACAAACTCCTTGCAGTCAGCTGTACATTTATAATCCATTTGCTTCAAAAACCCAACAGTAACGGGACCTGCTATACAAATCTAAATATATCAATATATGTGATTTGTTGTTTCTACTTTACTAATTACTCTTTTACTGAATACTAACTTGTTTCAGTGATTTAAAGTATAATATCGACCACCAATACGAACAGAAAGGAGCATTACAGCTAAAAAAAAACACAGACCTATCTGCTATCTTAGAAGTTTCTTATCAGTCTAGCTTTCAACCTCAAGGCAGAATGTGTCATCAAAGTAAGTAAATCTTGCTTGATCGTCCGATCTTACAATCTTCTATATTTTATATAATTTCCCAGTCGGTCAGGCTAAAATACCATTTTATATCATTTGCATAGATCCAAATACAGGGGAGCCCAAATACAGGGGAGCCCGAATACAGGGGAGCCCGAATACAGGGGTGCCCGAATACAGGGGAACCCAAATACAGGGGAGCCCGAATACAGGGGTGCCCGAATACAGGGGAGCCCGAATACAGGGGAGCCCAAATACAGGGGAGCCCGAATACAGGGGTGCCCGAATACAGGGGAGCCCAAATACAGGGGAGCCCGAATACAGGGGAGCCCGAATACAGGGGTGCCCGAATACAGGGGAGCCCAAATACAGGGGAGCCCGAATACAGGGGAACCCAAATACAGGGGAGCCCAAATACAGGGGAGCCCGAAGTCTAGAGGTCAGGTTTAGGTTGGATGTTGGTTAACTTGAGGTCGGGTTGAGGTAAGATTGAGGTTGGGATACGTAGACGGGGTTACAGTGTGTCAGGATATTTTTGTAGACTATTTTTCATGCTATTATTGCTATTTGTAGCAAAATGCACTAATTTTTGACGGGTTCATGGAGGCCACTGTATTTTTGAAGGTAGAGAAAATCAATCAAGCCAATTTTTAAAAACCACAGCAAAAAAACATCATCGTCGGTCCGACTTCAAAAAGTCTTTGATTTTGCCGGGTTAACAGTTCAGCCTTAACCGTACCTTCCTGTGTAAGGAGATACACGAGTCCGTTCTTATAATCACAGTGTTACGATCCCGGCCGAGCTAGACAAGATCTCAAACTGTTCGTTAGTGGAGTCACGTGAGAGTCACGTGACCGCCCACGTGCACGTGTCACGTGATAATGCACGTGGAGAAGCCTGTGAGAAGGGAGCCCTTGTCCCCCTTTCCCTCGTGGTCCGAGCCCTTGTCATATCAAGACAAAACGACTCTTTTTGTAACCGGCTGAAATCAACAAAAACCAGTCCGGGGCAGCGGTAGACGAATAAAATATAAGCTTGCGACTCCAGGAAATTAAGGGTCTCCGGGACTAACATTTTCGGATGGTTTTCAAGCTAACCAAGACTGACAACCAGGTACATATATACCAATATTTGCTACATTGCAGCCAGGTTTAGCTGTAGTTCTCGGTGCAAGTCTACCTCGAACTCCAGGGTCCTAGACTGATAATCCAACTTCTGGTCCAGCACTAATTAGCTTTGATGGGTTCGCGAAGGAGGTGGTCGGTTAAGTCCGGCTGTTGTGGGATCATTAGGAAGTTTTACTTCTAATAATTAACAGAAGTTTAATTAACAGAAGTTTAATTAACAGAAGTTGTAATTCTCAGTTTTAATCAGGTCTAGGCCAAGTAAAACAGCTTCCTTGCTTTCTTTACTTTGTAGGTGCTCATTGTAAATTATATGTGTCTACTGTCTTGGTTATTTGCCAAATGAATGAACATGTAAATTGTAAGTGGCTTTTAATGACCATCATGTGGCACCAATGTTTGTTGTTTTGCCGATACAATTGATGACACTTGCCGACAACATACGGACCACAAGGGCTTAATTCTCAGACAAACATTTATCAACACGAATCCTGATTCTTAATCATATGAGTTCTGATTCTTTACAGTTTTAATTAAGAGAGTGAAGTAAAAGTTCACTACTTAATATTATCGTCTTGGGCCTGTATGACGGTCATCTGCTGAATCAGACCAACTGTAACAGCATGGCTTCATGTGAATATGTGGGGGCCATTACAGCCGTTCGTTGAAGATTGGATTCGATTGTACAGATTGCAGACAGAAATGCCGGGTCGAAGTATAGAGATAAGTAACCTCCTAAGTAACCTCCTAAGTAACCTCCTAAGTAACCTCCTAAGTAACCTCCTAAAATCATAACAGGGATTGTTACCCACCATATTCGACGTATGGGCGATATAAGGAGACTGAGTGCAGTATAATAAAAACCATAAACCCCATTTTCCCATTTAACAAAAACAATAAACTGTTTTCCAATGGAGCTGTAATGAAAACATTTCAGATTGCGTAGAAGTATCCGAATGGTCCGAATGGGGCAACTGTGAAGCTAGCTGCGGAAAGAGTGTTATGAAGCGTAGTCTCAAGCTTCCCCTGGGAACCAGAGTCAGAAAAAGACATGATTGTTCTAAAGTTGAAGAAAGGGCATTATGTGAGGTGGGTAGTTTAAACGAAACATTTTAAAGTCATTCTGCGTTAAAGAATATTTCAGCTTATCCAATTGTTACGTGTATATTTTTATACTATAATAATTGGCAAATATGCAGCTAAGTCGAAATAGAAACACAAATTTTTATTACCGGAATTGTCAAACATAAATTGTGACAAGAAACAAAAAAATTCCCTGTCTAGATCGTTAAGAGCTCGATGGTGTACCGTTAACTTGTCATTTTACCCATCAACCATACAACTGTACATAAACTATGTTTGGGATCTAAACTAAAAGCCCCTTTATACATCCGTTAATGAAGCAAACCACAGTACAAATTAGAAAACATTCTTGTCCAAATTCGGGTCATTACTGAGCATGGTGATAATAGTGCCTTGTCTTGAACACGTCTTGGCAGTACCACCATTGTTCGCTGTACTCCCCACTGAGTAGACACCACGCGGTGCTCCACTTCGGTTAGATCTCAGCTCATTCACGAAGTTGTTTGTAAAGCATATGAAGATGATGGGGTTAAAGCAAGAGAGGTAGAGGGGTAAGAGGTTGTTGTAGATGTAGAAACAGATCACTTGAAGTCTAGATGTCTCCCAGTCTGACAGGCCAAAGTACCAAACCTGAAAAACAGGTAATTTACCCATTGAGACACGTTATTGCTGGCATTGCTTTAAACGTTCGAATTCTTTACGACCAGAATCAATAGAAATCAAACTCTTCAGTAATCTTACCAGATGCATCACTGTGTAAACCAGTCCACCTGCGTTTGCGATGAAAATCCTCAAAGTGGCCTTACAATTGTCTACTTGGGATTTGGTTCCAGAACGTTCTGCTTCTGGAAGATTGCCAAATGTCACACCATTACTCGGGCACTTTTACTGTGATTTTGACAACTTGATTGTAAAATTACAGCTATTCTTAAAGCGTGTCTAACATGCAGACAAAGTGTCAAATTGTTACTATTTTTAGAGTAAGAGGTTATATCTGGATTTAAAGTATTCTATTATTGGCTTCTTTGACGTCACACTACACGGTTTCAATGATAAATATAAATCAAGGTTTTAAAGCCGAAAGGTTCGAGTCAAATATAGCAACTATTGAATCATAATCTATCTGGAAATATACGATTCCGACCATATGCAAGAGTATCCTAGTCTGAATTATAATAAACCACATACCAGTTGAATAGTAGTATAATTGAATGATAGCCAGTATAGAGCAGACAAAAGACACCAACTGACAAAGAAAACAGGGCCCCCAGGATAGCATGGTTGTGGTTATCATACTCTTCATACCTGAAGTAAAAAGGGGTGTTATCACTTTCACTTTCACTTTCACTTTCACTTTAAAAACAGAAACATAAACTTATCTTAACATAAACCTTGAGACAAAGGGGTTAGAGGATCTGCAAACAGGAACTTTTAACTTCTGACAGAAGTTCTGAATGTAAGTGCATCGTGAAGGCAATTTCAATATTAAACGTTGTGTTTTTTTCTTAATTATAAATTTGATAATGTTTGCGAATTTCTACTTACTCGCGTGCTCAACCCCCAATAAAATAGGGTTCACTAAACAGTGTTTCCTGGGTATTGGTTATCGGATATCATATTTACATATCACCTCTAATCGTTCAGGAACCTTCAATACATGGAACTATAAATATAGGATCACTAAATATAGGAGCGTCTACAAATAGGCTGCATTCAGTCGACATTGGGGACAGGAATAGCTCCCGGATACCATATACGACATAGTACCTTCGGGGTATGTCTGTTCAAGACCGCAAAAACATTGTCAATCATGTCTAAAAAATCAATTATGAATTTTGTTATTAAGATTCCGACTCGGATTCCGACCATATGCGAGAGTTTCTTAATCTGATTTATAATAAAGCATACTAGTTGAATGGCTTATGGCAGTATAGTTGGATTGTTTTTCAACTAACCTTGAGTCTGATTAAAGTCTCTGGTCAGTATGAAGATGTTCTCAACTGTTTGTGACAGGGACAGATAGTAAGCCAGCTTATCTGAGGAGAAAGTCATTAGGTTTAGATATTTTCATGATAAGCAAGATTTTTGGTGCTGAGCCATTATACATTTGCAAATACCAATTACTGCGACCGATTTGATATGTCCTTGATAGTTTTCTTCCTAAAATGCATAACCAAGGATTTGATCGTAAGCCAACTTATCAAAAAATAAAGTCATTAGGCTTGGATCTTTTAACATTTGATTATTGGGATCAAGCCAAGGCCTCTATGCAGATTGCAGAACCCAATTATTGTGCCCAATTTGATAAGTCTTTAAACGTCAATAGCAAACCGACGAGTACACTAGAGTCCCCCGCTCTAGAGTCCTGCTCCCTGTACACACTACCCGTACCTCTTACCTCGAATCAATGAAATCAATTTAAATCGTTACGCCATCAAACTTTTTATTATCAAACTTGACATTAGAAAGAAGTTTTACCCGAGAACATGACGCTAAACACCGTGATCACGTATATGAGGTAAAGGACTATAAACATTACACTGTATCGCATCTTCAGACGGCCGAACGGGTTCTTTATCTGATAAATAAAAATTAATAAGCTTCTTGTTCAGAATAGGTTATTGAGAAATTACCTGTAAGATGACTTTAATGACAAAAGATATTAAAACATGGTTTTATTGCTAAAACATATTAATTCTTGCACTATAAAATAAATCTTTGTGTTTGAAAAGAGACAACAAATACTAACTTGAACGTATCTGATGGTAGCCAACACTGCCAAAATACAATTCGGGGTAACCAGCAGGGTGTAGATAGCAACTCCCATCACTCTCTCCCAAAGCTTCGGCCCAAAGTTAGCATTGCAGTGGTACATCTCATAGTATTCGTAGAAGTAACAGTTGGGGTCCTCTTTTATCGATATCTTATGGGTGCGTGTTAAGGATTTCCGATTTCTCAGAAACTTTTGATTTATCGTTAGAAACGGTACGTGGTCAGGAAAAATAGATCCACGTAGTGTAATGTCAGTAGTCACTAGTCACGTATTCACTATCATAGAACAACTAATGTAATAAATTTAAAGATCAAACATTTCTGGTAAGTAATAGTAAAACATTTCTTTGTAACGCACCTTGTAGATGAAGATTACAGGCAAAATCAAACATGTCAGAAAGTCAAATACTGCAAGAACTTTGTAAAGGAACCTGGGCACTGTGGACTCCTTTCTATGAAGTATAATTATTAATTATTAACTATGAAACAGTTCTTGGCGTTTTGTAGACAAAACATGTGACTTTATGGAAAGGGAAAGTTGAAAGTTGTGTTCTGTTGCTTGATAAAAATGGAAGCACTTCGCTACTACTCATACACAAACTAAAAAAGAACAGCAAAGACTCACTTGAAGTTATAATAGAAAACAGCTGGGTTCAGGACAGAAGATGCCACAAGAGGGAGGATCAGGAACAAGATGAAGATTATATCAGGATATGAGGTCCCTCCGGTACTGATTAAAGACATGTTTCACAGTGGACACTTGTTGGAGTTGTAGGAGGGTTAAATTTATGGTACTTGAAAGGTTCAAAGATCTGAAAAGAAATCCAAAAAACAACAGTATTGTTTGTACTTTGGATGAAAATAAGACTAGGTCGAAAATACAAATCTTGTGATATTTGCACATCCGAATAGTTTGTAACTCAAAATAATTACATTAAAAATCAAATTTAGAGGAAAGAGCAAATGCTGGCATTCGATAATATGCTTGCCTAATAATAGGCGTTGTGGTCTACAGCTGCGCCCATGTATTATAGTACAATTAAATTATGTAAGTATCCGGAAACATAAGTTTGTTACATTATAATGTTTGCCAGGTGACTGTCAGAAACTCGCACTGTCACCCTACTTTACCTTGCCACTAATCAAGTAATTATAGGAGGTTTAAATTTAAGACTACGTTCATAATAACCAAAAGAAACAAGGGATACGAGTTAAACGATGTATCATTTCCTGTTGAAACATAATCACTAGAAACTGCCCTTTTTTGAGAATAAGTAAATAATCTACTGTAAAAAGTCAAATAGATAAAAGTCTTTAAATAAAGCCAATGAATACAAGGAATGCAAGAACACAAGGATCACAGGGTAGCGACTGGCCAATATTTGATTGTACTACATGAATACAATACACGACAATATTTAATGATCATAAAAAACCTCAACACTACACTCAGCAACAACAAACAAGATTACAGAACTGCAGTTCACCTCATCACGGGTCACTGCAGCTTAAACAAACACCTTCACACCATTTGCAAATCAAACACCAGTGCTTGTCCTATATGCGGCGACGGAGAGGAAATCAGGAAACTGTCTCACACTTCCTTGGACAGTGTCCGGCTATTGCCCAAATTAGAGGTCAATATTTCCAGTACTACTACCTCTCTGTCAATGACATATTCGACAACCAACACATCACCACGATTGTCAATTTCGCAAACCGCACCAAACGCTTAATTGTGCCGGAAGAGCTGGATCAGACCGGGGTGACTTATTATCTCATATGCTGTCTATCTCGTCTCGTTTTACTTTTCCAAACCCAGCTGGCACTTAAGCGTATCATTTTGACTCATGTCACTTTTTACACCATCCTCCACCATTCACTCCGATTTCACCGGCAACCTTCCCCAGGGTTGCCACACCCCAGAGGTAGGCAGAGCATCTCAATGCTATCCTCTCGTGGGCTATCTTGGCCCAGCCTCTCTTTAAAAAAAAAATTTAATGTTGGAGGAAATGCGTGAGAAGATATTAATTTAGTACCTGTGTCCTACACCTTAAACAACAGTTTTTCTAAAGTTAAATCATGATATTCACATAATAAAAGATGGTAAGCGATGACCTTAATTCTTCACATTGTCTTTACAGTTCACATTACGTCTCTCTCTCTCTCTCTCTCTCTCTGAGAAAGGAAGTACCATTGACGATAGTTTTCACTCCGCTAACTTCCCCGCGAGGTCACCTGGGATGAATGTTATGTATATAACAATTCGTTACCATTATTTTTAGTAAACGCATCGATGATATAAAGAAATATAAAACATAAAGGCATAATGGCACGATGATATCACGTTTGAATCATACATTATTTTGGGAAAGAAACCATATACTAATATACTTGCACTTTTAAACTATTGAACATTGAGCGAATGAGCGTTATTCATGTTTGTAAATGCAAGCTTAAAGCTAAATTTCCTTATCCTGATCAGAGCCTTTTCCTTGTCGCAACAAACGGGAACAATACAATTTTTACCCCATGGAATCATTTCAGCAATGCGACTAATAAATAATGTTCCCATCCGGATATTACCTACAAAATAATATGCTAATGATAATTATTTCAGGTTTGTCCGTGCGAGGAGCCGATAAGATCCCTGAGTAACATATACGAGCTGGAAAAGCCTATAGAAACTTATTTCGTGCATGATGGATGTCAAAGTACGGAGGTTGTGAGAAACAAGTGGTGTGTCGGGCTCTGTGAAGACCACAACAGGTTAGTGAGGTTGAGGTTACAAGTTAGAGTCTCTCGGAATTTTTTCAATAAAAATAAAGATTTTAAATAACAATTGTATAAGCAAAATTGAACCATGTAAATATCAAATAACGGAGTAGTTCGCTGTTTATTAGTCTCATGATTGAAATACTGATATCTGGATATTATCCGGTTGGAAGAGACAAGGACAAGTGAAACAAGGAAGTTAGGAGTAAGGGCAAATTTTCGGCGTCAACGCCATCTTCAGGCTAAAATTGTTATAAATGTTAGTATATAATAAATGCTTCTATACTAGTTAAAATGCTAAATTAAAATTACACACACTGAATACAGGTTACATCAAATGGTATTGTACATTACATTGAAAATAGTGATGTACACACGTTTTACACTCTGTCCAAGTACAAAACTTGGACAGAGTGTAAAACGTGTGTACATCACTATTTTCAATGTAATGTACAATACCATTTGATGTAACCTGTATTCAGTGTGTGTAATTTTAATTTAGCATTTTAACTAGTATAGAAGCATTTATTATATACTAACATTTATAACAATTTTAGCCTGAAGATGGCGTTGACGCCGAAAATTTGCCCTTACTCCTAACTTCCTTGTTTCACTTGTCCTTGTCTCTTCCAACCGGATAATATCCAGATATCAGCATGTAAATATCTGTAAACTATAAATATATGTACAACCATGCTTGCTAAACGTTGAGTTTCTTTCTTCAATTTGTTTCTAATTTCTCCTCACCCAATCAGTGAGAACGTACCAATAAGATGGGGAGTGGAAACATTCCGAATGATTTGCTATGACGGCAGAGTGGTATTTTATAATGTAGCTATAATCCAAGAATGTGGCTGCGTAAGACAGAATGTTAATGTCAATGATGACGATATCATCAATAGTCTGTTTGGTTTTAGTTGACGAGATGGTCTCTCTGAAGTTATCTTCCCTGGAATGATCGTGGTTAGTTTAGTTATTATCTAGTTATTATCTAGTGATTATTTAGTGATTATTTAAGTGATTTTTTCATTCTGTGGAAACTTCTGTTTTTTTAATGGGGACGTATGATATCGAAAATAATGCCCTATAAGCAATAAGGCATAAATAACATATTGTAAAGTTAGCTGTATATTTGTATGAACCAATTGTTTATGTTAAGCTGAAATTTACACCACCATACAATTTCAGATATGCACTACACATTGTTACCGTTGTTTAAAAGCTAAGCCTATACTAGGACACCAATTCAAGAAGAAGAAAAAGACTTAAAGAAATTCTTTGATTCCAATCAGAATTCAGACCAAAAAGATCAAAAAACACTCGTTGGTTATTTAAAACTTGTAAATAACACTTATGATTAAAAAATAAAGAACTTGATGATACTTTGAACGATTTCAAGTTTATTTAAAGTCGCTGAATGGACATCGAAAAGTGAAATTGTTTATTTGGTTATTTGTTTGGTTGAAATGAAACGTTAGCTTTAGAACCTTAAAATCCTAGGATAGTACCAAAGCAAGATTAATATTTACAGTTTTAAAAAGTATCATGATTTTAACCATGGCATTGTGGATTTTATTCAGTGCAACCTATTTATTGCAACTTACTTAAGACTTCCAGTGATGATTTAAAAGGCATAAAACTCAGTAGGACTTCAATAGTAGGACTTCGATTGGAGTCGCATTGTGTGTACAGTACATTCTAAATATTGCTATGAGTCCTTTTAAAGAACTGAAAAGCTACAATCTACAATGCAAGATCATACCTGGTATTTGTGAAACGTCAAATCACGTGACGGACCACGTGACGAACCACGTGACGGACCCTCCCAATGGCGTCTATCGTCGTATCCTGCCAAAAGTTGGATTATAATAACAGGCAAAGCATTGACAAACACCTGCATTATTGTACCACTAAGCTCTAGTCACATCCGGTAGTCCGACACGTTGAAATTGAAGTGGTTAACGGTGATTTATGGCGATTAACGGTGATTTGTTGTGATTAACGGTGATTTGTTGCGATTAACGGTGATTTGTTGCTAACCGTTTTTAATTCCATTAGTTGCACTAGAAATTATGCGGTAAGTCCGTTAAAGACGCGGCAGGTCAATGTAATCATGTTTAGGTGCAGCTTTATGTTCTGGCTAGTAGCTTTTGTCGCAGTGCAAATGTTATGTGAATTCATACCCATAATTACAAAATTAGTGATAACAAAGTCTTACATGAATCGGTAATATCGGCATGTTCCACATTTGTCCAGTTAAAAATAAGATTTCATCTCAAGATCAGAAAAGCATCACGGATCCTTTTTTACCATAACAGTTGGTGATGATCGACTGAAACAGAATGTCATTGTTTGAACGGCATTATTGTAATTTTGTAATCGCTTTGGTAGATCCTAATGTTGTGTAGATCAATGCTTTGTTGTCTGAAAAATGTTTATTAGTTACCGAGATATGCACTGGACTCCAATGTCTTATTTTGAAGTGACCGACTTGCACTCACTGCAGCCCCTTATAAAATATAATTTCATTTGTTTTTCGTCTTCGAAGAAGAATACTTAGAAAACATATTTAGTAACTTTTCATCATTTTAGGTTTAGGTGATATTTGTACATAAATTACCTTATTGGCGATTATAATATCAGTTTGAATATAAGAACCATAAACACCTTCTTTTCTTAATCTTTACGTAATCTACTTAAAAAAAACTATTTTTCTTTAATATTATAATATCAGCTGTAAAAATAATCGCCAACTAGATATATTGTGTTATGTTAAATTTAGATTTTATGAGCTAGTCTAACTACCGAATTAAACATTGTTATAATGATGAACTACTTTATACCTGTATTGAATCATTATTATTCATTTAACAAGCTTATTAGCATATATTTCGTTTAAATCGTCTGCGATAAAGTCGAACAACTTATTGGTTTTCCATCATTTATATCTAACAGTGACCTTTGTGTGACCTTTGTCAATGTGTGACCTCTGTGTGACCTTTGTGTGACCTTTGTGTGACCTTTATGTGCTACAACTGGGTAGTGTCACAACAGTGTTCCACAGATAAGACATCAGGATACTATGATGGATGATTAACGTATTACTTCTCGGTAGTAAAAACTGGTTCTTTAACCTGGAGTTCTATCTGAGAGACTGCCTTTTTTATCTTCATCCGATGAGACACATACTTAATGTTATACAGTTATTTCGAATAAACTTAAACCCTAAATAATGTAATAAGTTAATAAAAATCTCGGGCCCATAAACATTTATCCCTGTCTCCGACAGGTTACGGGGCCAGGAAAAGCAATTAAACCCGCTCGTCGATATTAAAATAACAATAGACTTAATTAATAAATATCAAGGCTCGCCTAGGGCCCATAAACTTGTCACTGAAATATGCTGTTACCGACAGGCGCCGGGCCAGGGACAAAATTAGAACCGGACCCAGCTCTTCAACATGAGAATAAAATTATATTTATTTAATAAATATTATTTTCTATAAGTTCTTAAGGGGACATATACAAAAACGTTTTATGCCGGGGCTCTGTAGTTAACTTCATATTGAGAAAGTATACATAAAAATAACAAGATTTGATACATAACAAATTATTTTTGAGAGCACTCACTTTCGAAAAAATAAATATTTTCTTTTACGAAAGTTTTGGAAATTTTGAGAAGTCTGTCACTGTAATGCCGATATTTTAATCATTTCAAACGTTTTTTAGCTGATGTTTTTACTAAACATTACTTAGTCTTACAATCCGTACAAGAAGCCCTTGAAAGGTCAAAGGATTATATAATTAAACAATAAATGACGAAGTTACAGACCAAACAAGGTTGAAAAAAGAAAAATTGAAATTTTTGCCTAATTCTAATGTTGTATATTTCACCAATCACCCGGGTCAGCAGATATCGCCTTAAACATTTTTGTGAGTGTAGCTGATGATCGTATCAAACTTTTTGGAGTTGGACCCGGTCGTGACCGCTTAAGTAGACTTATTGAAATAATAAGTTTTTTAAAAATAGAAAGAAGCACGTAGATTAGGGTTGCCAACCGATATTATCGGCCGATAATTATCGGCGATAATTTGCCAAAGATCTTTATCGATTATCGCGATTATTCTCGAGAATTATCGAGATAATCGACCAATTTTTATTAACATTATTTTTATTAAATATGTTAAATAGCCTAAATTTAACATATTTTTCTTATCTGTTTCTTTGTTTGTCATGTTAAACCCGACTGCTACCAGTACCATAATTTGCAATGTAATGGACAATGGCATGCAGATGCTGACGTGCTATGTAGTCTGTAGTTTTTATGAATTTGCGGCAGTGAAAATTGAAACGTCGTGTTATATTATCGCATCTAGTTAGTTATGAGTTAAGTAGGTAGCTTGGAGGTTGTATGATCAGACGCAGTTATTCTGTTTTTTGATACACGGAAAGAAACTCATACTGCAACGAGACTGCAAAACATGTTCGAGTTTGCTGTGTGGTGTGTAGTATGTTGAAGAGATATGACCGGATAACTGATGCAGTGAACGAAGTTTTGGTTGACTCGGAGTTAGGTAATCTAATACAGAATACAGGATAGACTGAGTTAGACATGAGTTTGACATCATTAAGACTGTGTTAAAGAGACAACAATCTCCCTCAAGCTAGCAGAAGTGAATGTTCAGTTTATTGATTGCAAGCTGGAAGAGTCAAAAGATAGACTCGCCACTTTCTCGAACCCTTCTTGATAGGCTACGTACATGATATGTCAAGATATTAGAGAAAGAACCTTAACTTTGTATGATCGCTGGTAACGTTCTAGTTTCTACTCGGACCCCGGTATTCTAGCTGCAGATGCATATCAAGACTAAAAAATGATCACTAAGTAAACCTTGATACGTGATTCTAATGCTCTGCAGAGAAACAATATGCCTAAAGAACATTTGTCGATGAAATATGGGCTTGTTAAAGGGCAATACCAATATTATATATTGCAATTGATTCTATAGAAAAGCATGAAGCAATTCTATAGAAAAGAATAAAGCACACGATAATTCTATTAAAGTAATTCTAATTCTCTCACTCTGCAGAGAAACAATAGGCCATATTGTCGATGAAATATGGGCTTGATTAAAGGGCAATGCCAATATTGCAATTGATTCTATAGGAAAGCATTAAGCAATTCTATAGAAAATGATAAAGCCAACGATAATGCTATTAAAGTTTGCTATTTTTAAAATTTTTTTTTTTCAAAGTTCGAATTTAACCGATTTTTGGGAATTAAATTCAATTAATGATATTGTAACTATATAATGATGATGTAACAAGGTTACATAGCATAGGAGAATAATTCAAGTATGCATAGTGCAGAAAAATATTAATTCTATTATCTTGCCAGATTTATCGCCGATAACCGATATCAGATATTATCGCGATAATTTTGAAAAAGTTATCGATTATCGCGATTTAAAAAAATTGTACCGATAATGGCAACCCTAACGTAAATGAATCATTACCTGGGGACCCCAGGCTATAATATTCATAACAATATATAAAATAGAGATTTGGCGGAATGACAGGCTGAGCGCCGCCCAGTATAATATTATTATTAGTATTAGTAAAGATTCGTCGGAATGACAGGCTGAGCGCCGCCCAGTAAGTAAATCAACGCCGTCTACTACATTTCTGCAGCACGTGCTGGAGATATGTTTATAGAACTGTAGTCGGCCAAATTGTTTAATTGTAGTAAATATTTAATTACCTCATTATATAAACCCTAATTTTACCAAAACCCATAATCATGGGTAGAGTGGACCGCTGCCAGTGGCTCTCTTTCCCAAACAAAAGGAAATGATATTAATTTGATTGACCGTTCTCAAATGCAAAATGATACCGAGAATGAAATCGGTCGCTCGCTTTTCCCATTCATTCACGGCTTACGAATTGTAATAATTTTCGATTGATCACATGTCAATCAGATGCTGTAAAAATCTCTTTGGGTTGCGTTCGGGTCGATACCTAGTATTTCGGGGTAAGGGTGGTAGTTATCACTTATTGCATTAGCTGAAGTTTATTGAATCTTTATTGCCGAGTACAGCTGCCTTTGGGTAGTTCTTCTTAATCTATTACAATTGTAAATGAATGGGAAAAGCGAGCGACCGATTTCATTCTCGGTATCATTTTGCATTTGAGAACGGTCAATCAAATTAATATCATTTCCTTTTGTTTGGGAAAGAGAGCCACTGGCAGCGGTCCACTCTACCCATGATTATGGGTTTTGGTAAAATATCATCTCTTTTTGATTATAATGTCAGGGTACTTTATAAAGTCGAAATATAAACTGATATCTTCATTATAATAAGGAGGAAGTTTCAACGATTTCGAAATTTTTCCTTTAAAAACATTTCCTTGTGTTTAGGTAAGCATATCGGTCCATCACTGACTGAATATACCACTTAATACTCATTCAAGTTGACATTAAATTCATATATAATGACATTAAACTGTCGTGGCAAAGCAGAATTTGTTGGAAATCACGAATGAGCAAAATTCTCACCTTTCGCACGTGCAAACTTTGAGCGGACGTTGCATGCGCATCCAATATTGAATCGCCGTAAATTTTTGCATGTAATTGTTTTATATATAGCTTGATAAGCATGCAAAGTTTCAAAGTATTTCAAGAAGAACTGTAATCACAACGGCACTCTAAAGTTGACAGAAAATGACGAAAACAGCAATTTTCAGTGATTTTAGCAATTTTCTATCAATTTGGGCGTGTCCCCACGTGTGCATCTTTTCGATTTTCAACTTTAAAACTAGCCTAATGCACAATTTATACCTATAGGAAGCAGAACTGAGCTCCACAACCCAAGGCATGGCCCAACACCAAAGAATACTAAATCGCAAAATTGACGTTTTTATAAAATAATTCTTCAAAAAAGCACAAACTTTAATGACAAATATCTTTATGAAGGAGCAAGCTAGAAAAACTTTCCGGTAGATTTTCAGAATGCTTGAACAATTATCTAAGGTGAAAATTTCCTCAGATTTTGAATAAAATTACTCCTTAATGGGTTAAAATTAATTTTAAAAGTTATTACTTTGTCAAAAATCAAGTTTTAAAAACGGTTAACTTGATGACGTCATCAAGGGGTGTTTATGACGTCAAATAAATTTTTTATACAATGTAAACTAAAGTGTAAACAATTATTTGCAAGACCTGTGGTCGGAAATGGCTGTATCTTTTATACTTTTGAATCTATGGACACTTAAATACAGGCTACAATTGACTGGCAAAGCGTCTATCCCTGAATATATATATCTGTATATCTGTATGTATATGTCCCGACAATCTGTCGTAAAACAGGGGTTCTAGAAAACCCATTTCCCGATGCTCCTGAAACCTGAAACTTTTTTTGCAGTCAATTTGGTCAACGTCTAGACGCCCTGAAAAATTTCAGATCTCTAACTCAATTTTAAAAAGGTTTTTAGGGCACCTGAATATGGCGATTTTGGGTTTTTTACCGAATTTCGTATAACAGTGCTGGCGAGTATTTTATGCAAATTTCTTAAAAATCTGAACATAACTATTCTTATTCCTGTCCTCTTTGACATCAAATTAGAATGTTTTGAACTAAAAATAAATCTGCTGAACGACTTCCGATGAGTCTTAAT